CGATTCTAAACGTGCGCGAGATACTTACGTAACATTCCAATGAAGGAGAATCTTAAACGCGTATGAAATACTGACGTAACAATCCAATCAAAAACAAATTCTAAAATGTGCGATACAAACGTAAAATCCAAATAAAAGAGAGCTCTAAAAGAGCACAAGATACTAACGTTAAGATCCAATAAAACAGGGTTCGATAGTGCACGAGATGCTTACCTTAAAAGTCCAATGAAAAAGGGTTCTGACGGTGCGCGAGATACTAAGTAAAAGTCCAGTGAAAAAGAATTCTAAACGGGCGTGAGATCCCAACGTAAAAAACCTTTACTGAAAGAGAACTCAAAAAGTGCGCCAGATACTAACGTAACAATCCAATGAAAGGGAATTCCAAGCGTGGGCGGATAATTAAAAGTAACGATCCAACCGAGGAGACTTCTAATTGTGCGCCAGATATTAACGTAACAATCGACTAGAATTGAACTAAAAAAAGGGCAAAACACTAAAGTAACAATCCAATCAAGAGAATTCAAATAGTGCGCCAGATCCTAAAGTAACAATCCAATCAAAAAGAACGTACGTTAAGTACCAACCTAACAATCCATTCAAAGAGAATTAAAAAAGTGCGCCACTAAAAGTGCATGAGATACTAACGTAATAGTTCAATGAAAGAGATTGTAAACGTGCGTGAAATACCAACGTAACAATCTATTGAAAGAGGATTCTTAAAGTGCGCGAGATATTAAATAAAATTCCGATGAAAGAGAATCCTGTGTGTAAGATACTTACGTAACATTTCAATCAAAGAAAATTCTAAACGTGTGCGAGATACTATAGTAACAATTCGAATAAAAAGAGTTCTAAAAGAGCACAAGGTTCTAACGTAAAAATCCAGTGAAATAGGTTTTGATAGTGCACGAGATACTATCGTAAACGTCCGGTGAAAGATAATTCTAAACGTGCGTGAGAAACTAACGTAAAAAATCCATTGAAAGAAAACTCTAAAAGTGAACCAGCTACTAACATAACAATCGAATTAAAGGAATTTATAAAAATGGGCGGATTGATAAAGTAACGATCCAAATAAAGGGAATTCTAAATAGAAAACTAATACTAACTCTGTATTTCTATCTAACTGCTTCTTTTCACAGGTTACTTACCTGAAGAAATGTCGTGATAAATTGAAAAGCATGAATCCTCGACATGGCATCTCAAACACTTGCTCTAGCATAAGAAACGCTCCCCGACCTGGACAGAGAGGACAGTATCCAAGGTAATAGGGTCGAATGCCGTGTTTCTTGACTCCATTGAAGCAAAGAAAGACGCTCAAATTTCTTGTAGTTCGTAATCTCTTTCCACGTGCAAGGCTAAGCGCAAATATGAATATTAACTTTAGAAATTATTTGTAATTTAAATGAGTGTTCCGACTTCAAAAGCGGGTTCAAAGAAGTCGACACCGAGTTCTTCGGTCGGATCCGTACAATTATGAAGCGAAGTAGGATACTTCGGTTGAGACAGATTTTCAACTGAGAAGTTCCGCAGAGATCTGCAAATAGTGTTGTAATTTTAGAAATACTCAACTCGAACCTAACTGAAATTGAATTAAAAACATTTTGCTTTAACAGTATTTTTTAAGTCATTACAGAAGCATACAAATCAGGTCAGATATGCTTCTGGTCATTAACAATCGGTTTACCAGAACCTCGCGGTGTATCTATCTGTTTTTCTTTTCCATGGGCATTTCCAGTTAAAAAAGTGAAGCTGTTTTTCAATCTCCATCAGTATTGACGAAACACGTTACAGGCGAAGGAGCTGTTTTATTCGGCAACTTTCCGACTGGATAAAGGCACATATAAGATGTAAACATAAATGCGTATATAAATGTAATATCTTCAGGTGTCTCTGAGTTATTGAAAGGAGATATAATTTTACCCTTCTTTTTCTTTCTTCGTCCCCATGCCTACTCCATGTTCACAAGTATAGAGGGAGAGAACCTAGGGCCAAGCTCGTGCGGGGGCCGTACAGGTCATATGATGATAGCGTTTTCGGTTGAATGCGAAGCGAACAGACATGAAGCTCTGATCAAGATTCCTACCTAAGTTATTGACATAATGAATATTGCACGTTCTACTTTGAAAGTAAGAAAATGTAATGAATAAACTAGGGGTAGAGTTTGTTCCGACGCTTGGTCTGATTGCAGTTTGAAGGCGTTCGATTCGACGTAAAGTAGTCAAACGATTTTAAAAATGAACTCAAAAAGTATGGTAATTTGCTTTCAAAAGATTCAGATATTTTGTAAACTGTCACTTATTCCAAAGGCGAAAGTGTTCTGATTTGCCATTTTCTATGTAATGCTAGTTCCGCTAGTACCAAAGGCGAAAGTGTTCTGATTTGCATTTTCTATGCAATGTTAGTTCCGCTAGTGCCAAAGGCGAAAGTGTCCTGATTTGCTATTTTCTTTGCAATGCTAGTTCCGCGGGCATTGGGTTGGAAAGTAACCTATGAATTTATGTTTCTGATTCAGAATCTCGCGAGTGTCTTTAAAGCTAAGTCATCATTTAATTCTATGATCCTTCACTCTCCTTGGTGTTTTGCACTAATAAGATATGTTCTAAAACTTGGATTCAATAATGGCTAAGAAGGACATTTTCTTGTTCCTCTATAGTTTTTAAACGGTATTTATAAAATTTTCAGCTATTAAGGCTCATTTTCATCCTGTTTAATTTAACAGCAACTCGATCTTTTTATCATATACGGGGTCTATCTCTCTGTTATAAATTATCCATACGGCTTTAGACATTTTTTGTTTTTCTTTTCAATTGATCTCCATTAAATTGTAGCAAATATGTCTTTCCCTCAAACTCCTCTGGGGGAGACCCTAAGCGAAGTTGACCTCAGACTGGCATGATCGATTAGTTAACCTCTCTATTTTTCTCTTTCCAAGAGGTATAAATACAATTAAAAAAAATGCGCAACAGCCAGTCATAAGCAAGCGAACCTAAAAAAAAAACAATATTTAGTAGTAGGAATAGCAATGAGGATCGAAATGCACCAATGAGAGCGCCCCAGATACGCGTGACCATTCAAACCTCATCGCCTGATGAACACTAAAAAGAGAGCATTCGACACGTCGCGATCCTTAATCAACAGCTGGAATCTAAATGTTAGTGGCTATAAATCATGAAACAATCGAATATACTTTGAATTCGTTTATCATTACAACCACGGTGAATAAACACACCTTTTACAACCATTACTACCGCGGAAAGCTTTCACACTTTGCATATCTGCCACAAATTAATTCAAAACCACCTTACGTCAAATAACACTAAATACATTTAAAAACTTGCATTAAATAGTTTCGTCTCAATGAAGCAACAATTAATAACACGTCACCCTAAGATAGTATGATATTCTCATAAAATCACGGGAGTATAATTACAATAACGATACGATAAACCTAACTGAAACCGGGTCTTTCTGAACTGATATCCTGTCAGTTAAACTATTACACAGCATATTTAATAGAAGTAACGATATGGAATTTTTTTCTCGCGAAGGAACAAAAATTTTATCACGGAATTCACCGAAAAAAGCCCTAACTTTGCGCCACGTTTGAAATGAACTTAAAATAAGTAGTTGATACCACCAAAACAACAGCGTCAAGCCATTTCTTTCATTTACTGGTTTAACATTTGGCTTTCAATAGTGTAAATGAAACCTTTGTTCTGATTATTTTCGATCTTAATATCCTGTACAGTCTAATCAGTGGGTATCATACTCAGCATACAGTACCACATGAACCACTTAACGCGGCTGTAAAAATGAATACGAAAATTTGGGTTTGGACCAAGATTTATAAAATGCTTACATATTGAACCAAGAGATGCTAAACTTTTCTTAATCTCTTGATTTCAAAGAACCTCAGAATGGAGGTAATGTTCATCCCCAGCCCAGGTCGAAAAAAAAACAAATACGCAAGTAAACGCAGCAAAGAAACACAATATAGATGGCTAAAGACAACGCAAATTAAAACTGGTAATAATAACAACAATGCATTATGGCTTGATTCATTGGCTCTAACGATCCCAAACAATTCTCCCTACTTGCCATGTATTTCTTAAAATTTCACTTATGGGAATTTGATGTTAAATAAAACTTTTGTCTCTTATAGTTAACACTTTTGTTTCCTTTTTTTGTACTTAACTGTCTAACAATGAGTTAATATCGAAAGGAAAAGTTATTTATTGGTCACAGGCTCGGGTGGATGGCTTAAGTACTAAAAGTTTCTTTCTTGTAGCAAAACAACAATCTAGTTAATTCATGATATCATAAATTATTCACCCGTACACCTTCGTAGCATGTGGATAAAAAGATGGATTGAGATCAAGTAAGCTAATCTTTTTCTTTTACTTTTCATAAGAACCTCTTGACCCTGCTAGCTATGAACAGACCGTTACTCGGGTTAGAGGATTAATCAGACTCACGTAGATATCTATACCTCATAAATCCTACACAAACAGTCTACACTAATGAAAAAGATCGTTTCAGCGTTGTCAAGATTTCCCGCAGAACGTAAATGAATATCGCTACTCATTCCAGGGTTGGCGAAACTCTGAAGCTGGCAAATTCATACAGTGTGTGGCATCAAAGTCCATCAAATACTGCAAAACCTGGGAGATAAAGATATAAATCCATTCAACCCAACTTAATAACAAGCTACGTTTTGTGGCAGAGGCACGCATAGTTTTCGTCGTGTTATAATATCCTTACAATATCCAGCAAACAGGTAATGAGAATACTCAAACTTATCACGGCGAATTTTTGTTCTTGATCTGAAATCAAATTCTTGTAACTAATTTACAAGGAAATGTGTTGCAGCTAGAGGGGAGAACTGACAATCAGATCTCGGGAGTTAAAGGATTAAAGTAAAAGTGTGAGGAGCCAACCTTTGATCACTAAGAAGATGTCAAATTTCAATCCACTTACTAGAAACATCAGTAGATGAATCCGTTGTTCCACTGACAGATCTTGACCTGGTGTTGATTAACAAAATAAAATGTGATAAAAAAAATCATAAAAAACAAAACAAAACAAAAAACCGAAACAATTGCTTACCAATCATCATGGGATATTCCTTTCCGTTTTCTTTCACATAATTCTTGTACATTGACTCGCATAAATTGGCCTCGACACTCAGGCTATCCCAAATAGCTTCTACAACATAATGTAAAGTGAATTTACCTTCATCTATCGAAATAAGACATCTTAAACAAAACACGAGCTAGCATCACATGAGGAAACAAGTTTAAAATAAAGTCAAGGAGATTTCTACGTCTGCAGCTTAAAAAAATTCAAAAACGAATTTTAATTTGTCATACACGCAAAAATGAATCTTACTCTTGGTGGCTTGATCAGGGGCGGCGAGATATTCATATAATGCGTCTTCACCATTGTCATCAACTAACTTTGGATATCTAATGGAGGAGTACAACATAACAACAACAATTGCTCATAATCGTCTCTTATTTTTCCTGATCCAAAAATGAGTGACGTAATGGCAATGACATATTCTTCAATCACGGATTCGACGTTTAAGAATGTTACCTGAATTTGAGAAACTTCACCAGGAGATCATTTCCACGGTTTGAACTGATATCTCCTTCCCTGATCGGAAAAGAAATACATTCATACCAGAATTTCTTTGGATCCTCACACGCAAGGATACCAATTAATTTTAAAAAGATAAAAGTAGTCAGTTGTCAGGCATGGATATTGATTTCTAACTTCAGTCGGGTAAGGTAGTGGTACAGATATTGATTCATTTTCCAGTTGTTCCGAGTAAAGGTATCTAAAGAACTGTGGTGCTGCGTCACTGGGAGATTATAACAGGGTAATTTGGTATAATCAATTGAGTTGATAACGTAAATTGGCCACCGTAAAGTCTCAAAGCTGACGTTTTGTGCCTTACCCCTTCATCAGAGCAAATGATTCGCTCTGACGAAAGGTTAACGCTCGGTACGTTGGCTTTGAAACTCTTTACGGTGGCCAATTTACGTTATCAACTCAGTTGATAATACTAAATTACATTGTCTAATATAAGGTTCCACATGTAATGCCTGTTACCGTTGAATGATCGAAGTTGACAGAATTTGTATCTTTTCAGAGAATCTTTGTGAAAAGGCACTCATGCAGTCGACCTCAGTCGCGTTTTAAAGTAACCAAAGCTTCCTGGCATAGTAAAAACTTTATTAATTTGCGCTTTTAGCTATTTTAAAACACCTCTTCCGGGAACAGCTGTATAGGAGGTAACACAGTCAATGTAATTATGGACTTAAGTCAATCTACTCATCACAAAAGTACTAGGCTGTTCGTTCCACAGAATTCATTTACCACTCCGGGAAATAATTAGGTGCTATGAAGTGCTTGAAGGGAATAAATGTACCCAGGGTGCTTTTCAGCTCCATAAGGTTTTCAACCAATCACTGGCATCACCATTAAGTAAATGTAAATAAATACTGTCAAAACCTCTTGCTGTTCCCTCATGGCAACGGAATTTGAACTTTAATCGAGTTCCTACGCGCATCTTACATTTAACATTACATAAGATTCAAACTACAAGACGAACATTTGTTCTCAATGGTGGCTGTCAAACTCAGCAATTAGTTCATCAGCGACGAAACAAGAGTACTGGCTGACAGGCAGCCAACTGGCGAAAGCCATAAATAGGGATAAATTAACTACAACAATACATGAAGTAACATGAAAATCAAATGCCTTACTCAGTTGTGATGATCTCATCTCTCATTCTTCTGATGAACAGCACCGGGCCTGGATAGCTAAACAAAGTCGTGTAAAGTAACAAGTTATTTCCAAAGTAATGTTAGAAGTACACCGTGACTGCATTGGTTTTGCTTCAAAACGCCACGAGATTGGTCAACATGAAGGTAACCTTAAGCCTCCTCAGAGCCAATCAGATGATAGGACTAAGCCCAACCGCGACTTAGTCACTCGCGTTTTGCCACGTTACAGGCCGGTTTCATGTATTGACACTGATTTCTCATTGGCTTCTTGCGAGATAATAATGAAAGATTTCTACCATTAGCTCACGGCGCCTAACAACACTTTGGAAGGGAGAAGGGGGGGAAGAGACTTTGGCCAGACTTCCCTATGCAATTTACAATTTTTTTCGACAGGAAATTTTGCAGATGCCCCCGAGATGGCATCTTTGTTATGAAAATATTTTGGAATACTTGAGTTTATTTTGCAATACTCAAAGAACACACAATCAGTCGATATGACTGGTAGGTGTAAAAATAAGTTTGGATATACAAGGAGCATTGACAGCTCATTACCAAACGTGTTTCTCAATGAACTGTTTACTGATTCACAACACAAACAGTTGGGAAGAAGTCCATGCTGTTTCTCTTGTTAGTGACATAGCTTTTCCTTCCAGTTTGCAATCTTATTGCGCAACACTTAACATGCAGCATGTCACCATAGAAAAAGTAAAATTTACATTTTGCAGCTAGAAAACGTCTAGTTAACGAAAATACTTCTAATAATTCATTGAAACTAAGTCACAGCAAATAGGACAACTCTAAAGGAATTTGTGAGTTATCGCTAAGTACTTCTAATTAACTAAATACCTGTATAACATACGAGCAATGTCAAGATGAAAATATTCCTTTACAACCCTTGTCGTAAAACCACCTGTTAGATTAATGCAGATAGCGAAGTTTCAGAGATGCATGCCAAAGGTTGTCAACCAGTCAATAATGCAAATATACAGATTCGAGGAAAGAAAAACCTGCAACTACTGCAGGTGACTTGTACGGAGACTTAGATGGCCAAATATCATGATTGATAAGTAGCCTTGAGTCTGCATCCTGTGCACAAGGTCATAGACTCACTGTGCGTCTTGTGAAAGCTAACGAGAATCACTTCGCATGTATTTGCAATATTCTATAGCAATTGAGAAAGTATGACGTTTGGCATGCTTAGGTGAATTTTTTGTGCAGTGCGACATCCTCTACAAGTACAATTTCTAGCTCCTTACAACGTTCAAAATACGTGGTCAGCCTTTAAAGGATAAGAAGCTCATTCTACCGGAGCTTATCCCAGTTTCTATGAGGTAATGAACAGGCAGATGAACAGTAAAGAGTCGGTGCTTTCCCCCACGCCCTGATTGTCAGTTGGGAAGTGAATGGCACGTACTATTCATATTCGAGCACCGACGAGACAAAATCATTGGTCAAGTGTTAAATTCCAACCCTTTTACGGTATATAGAAAGAAATAACTAATTTTTTTTTTAATTTATGTGGCATATACTAAAACAAATATTCACCTCCACTTCAGTGAATAATTGTTTAATTTTGCTATTCCCCTTGAATAGGATGTCACTCCATTGCAGCATTACCTCCCAGCAACTTGTTTAGTTCCCCTTGAAAATTTGCTAGTATCCATTCTCCTTAGTCGAGAGTGGATGTAAAAAAAATTTCAGTGTCAGGGCTTGGACCCAGGTCTTTTGATCTTAGGTCGAGCACAACAAATACTAGGAAACCATGGGTAATACAACTTAATATGTAGAAGACATACTTATGCTTTCAGGCATCTTGCACTGAGCAAGTGGAACAATGTCATCAAATGTTGCATCTAAAACCTGAGGGATAAAGAAAAGATTGGCAACACCACTGCTTTATTTCATTGATGAGAATCTGCGATTAATATGACCAATTATAAGCATTATAAATCTCCATCAATTTGGCAACCATTGTCAAAGAGCTACTTGTGTTTGTGTTTATTCTGCAACCTACCAAAGCACCAATCTTAGGGTGAGTTCTTCCTGCCCAAACTGCTGGATAACCCCCTAAAAATTCACAAAGATACAATTTGAAGTCAAATGATGTACAAAGCTGCAAACTAAAAACATTTATTTAACACTTATTTGAACTCCTTCACAAAACATATGCAAAGTAGGCTGATTCCCAGAAAAAAAGAGACAACAGCAGTGGTTACTAAATAATTAAATAGTTAGCCATATCATCAAAAGTAGTGTTTTGTTTTGTCTTGAGTGGCATTTGAACATGATATATCAGTCTCAAGGTGATAACTATGTATTTGTGAGAACTTAACTCAGTTGATCTGGATACAACAAGCACAAAAAAGTGATGTGATCACTCACCTATTGACCATGCATATATAACAATGTTAGAAACTGAGAAGCCTAGCACTTCAACAGCATATTGTATCACAACATCTATAGCATTTCTCTCAGATTCTGGTCCTGGCACACCCTGTAGCAATAATGACAAGATATCAGCGATTTACTTTACTTTCCTATGCCACAATTTGTAGTTATACCAATCATACAATTTGCCATTAAGAGGTTGATTAACAATGAGGGACAAAAAATAGGAAACTCTGATATTTCATTGTAACCAAAGTTCCCCTTCATCCCCCCTAGTATCTCACCCACAATCTCCCCCCCCCCTCCCCTTGACAACCAACTGAAAATGTTGAGCTTTATATCTCTGAATTTATTTGTATGTTTACAAACAGAGGAAAGAGAAATGTGCATTTTCACTTTTTTCACAATTTTCACTTCACAGCACTTGGAAAAATGGAAAAAAATTCTTGTTTAAACCAACTTTCACAGCTACTTTTGCCATTCATTTTACTGTAGGTAATAGATAAACTTTGGATAATGCTATTAGGCAAGGAACCTCACATGAAGGTAAAAGAGATGACAGTTTGAGTTCAAACAGGTGTCTCCTGGCTAAATGGCCTTTATTTATTTAAAAGTCACTGGATACATAAGGGAAAGTTGAAAAACAAAAAATAGTGATTATGGTAGCAGTAATTAAATCCAATGATCCCAACATTGAATCATCAAAAATGAGGAATGTGACTAGCTAGGTGAACAAGCTACACCTTCCTTCTTGTAGTAAATGGTATGTAAACTAATCAGTCACAGTTTAACAATAACCTGAAGACAATCCAACTATTTTACTTACACTGCTCCCAGAAAAACCAGGATGATTCCATCCTAAAACTGAATATCCAGCTACAAATACAACAGGTAGTAACTGCTTAGCTGAATGGAATAATTCTAAACATAAACTAAAAGGCCATTATGTAATTATCAGCCATACTTGCAGCATTGTTAACCCAGTATGTGTTATAGCTTTGGTGTAATTCTTTAATAACCCTAACTAAGAAACGTATCTCCAAATTAGTTTCATATCAATTATCAACCTTTATAAGGAGTCATCATCAGACCAACTTCATAAAAGCCTGCATTCCCTTCACATGTTATAACCTGTTGGGACAAAATAACACCAAAGTGATGCCTAATCTTACTAATTATTACACTGATTACAAGTGTTCTTAGTAAGATCACTTGCTTGCATACAGTGCTACTCTTCGCAAATTATTGTTTAGTCAAAGGGCACATAGCAAATATAGATTGTGCCTGACATTCATCAGCCATTCCAACCAAGGTGATTGAGACAAACCCTTCATGATAACCTTTTGTTCTGAGAAATTACAATACAGGGAAATGCAGAGACCAAGTCATGATTGGGTTAGGTGTTCCACCAATTAGATTGAAAGGTAGAACAAAAATTATTAAACCAATCAAAGAGTAGCAAAGGAAAACCACCACAAGTCCTGAGTACTTTTGAACAATTACTTAAAGAGTAGAGAGCAGACCAAGCATCTCCATGTACTTGAAAAGCTTCATTGGATGCAACAGCCTCATATTCAAAATGTTTTAAGTGACTAATTACATAGCCATGTTTACAAGTGAAAATTGGAACAACTTGACATTGACAACACACTAGCATCATTTTTTGCCCACCTCCTCTCTCATTATCAGTACATATTAGAACAGACCAAGCCTAAAACAAGAATCATTCTCATACCAAAGTATCCCCATGAACTCCATGTTCCCCACTTGATCTCTTGTCCATGAACATGGTATCAATCTCATTTCCATCTGCTGCTTCCAGTTTTGCTCTCTTGCCACTCTATAAGTGAATTTGTCTGACTGTGTAAATATTACAGTAAATAAAAGCTGCAATAAAATCTTTGTGAAAAAAGGGTCCTCCCTTGTACCTCTCTGTACCACAGTTTTCCTTCTCTGGTTACTGATCTGAAGGTCTGTTTCTTCTTCTCCCACTACTCATAAGGGTTTCCATTAGTTCTGTGGCAGAGCATCTGACTGGTGTCATGGTTTCCAAGTTCTACTAAAGGACTATTGCCCCACTCTCACTTAACAACCAGTTTAAATTTAAGTGTTGACAGAATAACATGATTGCACATGGCATTAGATGGAAGTGAATTATATAAATAAATATTTAAATAACTATCCAAAAAATTATTAAAGGAAATCTATGACTCATATTCTTACTTACACGTTCAATCAAAAACTGCCTCCCATTCATCAAAGGTTCAGCTGAAAAGCAAAAAGAAATCAAGGAAATTTAAAACTCATTTACTGCTTGTATGAATATCAGCATTATACAGGCACAAGTTTGTCTTCAGGGCAACTTCCAACATGATGGTCATCTCTATAGTTTTAATCTACTTTTCATTTCAGAACTTTCTGCATATAAAACCTTTTACATGATTTATTTCTCATGCACATGACAAACATCTATCAATTTAAAAGTCGCAAGAATTTCACTTCATCCCCATAAGTTGGCAGGTAATCAGTATTAAAAGAGTTGTTATTTATTGTTCTTCAGTCAAGAAAATTTTTAAGAGCCAGTAAAAAGCATTTAAAGCTGTACCATATCCACTTTGAAGAAGACCAGTGGATCCAGGGTAGATCAAGGGGCGACCAACTGAGTGTGCCACAAAATACCTGAAAAATGTTTATCAATATGTACAAAGCATGGGACTTTGCAAATCATGATGGCAGTGGCAATAAAAGAACAGATTGCAAGAAATATGATGACTTGGCTAGACAATAGCTCGGTCTTCAAAGCAATCCTAAACCTTATTACAATTAAATTTCTCAATTATCCTTTGTTAAGTAATTACACCAAATCACCAAATTTTGCATAGTGTAAGAATAAGAACCTAGACCTTCAATAGAATTCCTTCCTGCTTTTAATTGGTTTCTAAGGAATTAGTGAGTGAAGATAGCACTGCAAATACTAAATACTCTGTGAAAAGTGGGTCAGGTGTCACCAAATATAGGATAAATTGATTTGAGTTGGATCTTACGCTCAAATTTAAAAAGTTAACTTATCATTCAACTGGATGCTGCTAAACATCTAGAAATTAGATTAAGAAAGTGCAAATGATTATTACCTGAGAAAGTCACAAGGCCATGATCCAAGAAAGGATAAAAATCTTGAAGACCTGCTTTGAGAGGTGGTATTCTTGGCTTCCCTGTGTACATCTTGACTATTATCAAAAATAATTTTCCAAGGACAGCAATAAATACATGATTATACAAATACAACCAGTAACAAAAAACAAATACATGTGAAATTAATGATACCTAGCTCAAGAAAAATGGCTTTATAGAATTGTTGTTCACATAAAAATATATGTCTTTCTGTAAAACAATAATTTAGTTGTGAGCAAAAGTTTAAAACCACACACATGCAGCAATGATTCACTTCTAATATGCTGCATGATGTGACTTCATGATGCAATGTCTTCAATATTATTTATAACTTCCTTAATTAAGGATATATGTTCAAATAAATGTATGTTCAATTGTGTAAATACAGTAAATATGAACATGGATGTCGTTTGTCATCTTCAAGAGAGAGAAAAATTCAGCTTGAATGACTTACTCAGCTTTGGATTCATTCCATTTGTAATCAACAGGCCAAGCTTCAAAACTGAAGTCATACAACCCAAGTCTTTTCTGTAACATTCAATTGCAAATTAACATGAATGTCAGTCATACATGGAGAGACATAGTAAGCCTCAGGTTGGGTTGCTGGACTCTGGATCAAAAGTTCCAGGTTCAAGCACAGGTTAGGTCATTGTGTTGTGTTCTTGGGCAAGACACTACACTCTTTTATAATTCCACTCCTCCCCAAGCAGGATAAATGTGTACCAGAGAAGCATACACCTAACAGTGGCAAAATACTGGGAAGAAACTGTATCCCCTCACTTTATGCCATTTAAATCAGGATAAGCTGACTTTACCCCTCCCCACCCCACTCCCCCACACTTTCCTTCACCTTTACAGTGAGTCAATAGAAGGCTGGACAAACACATAATAGTCCAGATATTTGGACCTATCTAGAGTAAGAATAAAGCAACTTTTGGTAGCATTCAGGTAACTGTTGTAGAATACATATTGATCAAGTCTATGTCTGTGGACATCAACACACCTTGTTTTCCTCATTGTTATTCATTCTTGTTTCTTCTAAAAGAGCTAAGAATACTCTATAGTCCTGATTTTTAAATCGTCCATATCCTGCAGATAAAATAACAAAAAATAAATTAAGGATTTTTTTTTAAGTGCATAGAATTAAGAGAAGTGTTTAAGGAAGATTAACATAAAAAATCAGCCCTCAATAAATTTTGCACATAAAAATTAGGAGTCACTAATAGTTCATTCTTTAAGAATCAACATTTGATTTATAAATTTCCAAATAAGAGTTACTATTGATATACTAGAAACATAAATGCTGGCAGTACATAGGTTTTTCACAAAAGTTGGGTCTGTTAGGGTGTGAGAGGAGCCTGTCAGTGAGAATATTATGCCCAGTGTTAGGTTGTTGATAATTTTTATGTGATGATAAGCAATCCCAGTTTTTGGGAATCAAATCACACTAATAAAGTTATTATTAACACAAAAAGATTGTTTACCAAAATGATGATAAGAAACACAGAGTTAATTTCTCACAGCACAGCACAGCACAGCACAAGGGTAGTACTGTAAGTTCACTCAATGGACTAAGCACAAATCCCCAACTATACAACTGTACCTCTTATGCACAATGCTCCAAACACAACCATAAGTCCTGTACCAATGAACCTAGACAAGCTTGCCAAACCTGCATGACTCAACAGACCTAATATCAAAGGAAGAACATCACATAATTAATTCCTTGTCAAAAGATAACTGTAAACAAATGTGCAAACTTAAAATCTCTGTATCATCATTAATAATGATATGATAAGTTTACAAGTGAAATATTATGTTCAACTGCTCTCCAAGCTTTATAATAAAATTCCATTGTTATAAAAAAACAACCTTACAGGGGTTTCAGTTATATACATTTCTATAAGTAGCTACTTAATGGGATACACATATGTGATCACAAGTGAAGCAATACAAATCTTATCAACAAAATCTGAGCTGAAAGTGGTTGAAGGTCTTATGTTCAGAACCAGAGAGCCATTGGCAGCCAACTTAACTTCTGTAAGTACACCATGATTTACAAAATTGCAATAATTTAGCTCGAACTTTCTAATGAATGTTCTTTATCATTCTAAATCCTTAAATTCCCAAGATCTGATTGTTAATTCTCCCCTCTACCTGCTACACACTTCCTTGCAAAGTAATTCAGTTAAAAGAAATAGGTGTAAGATGTAGATAACAACTTCTAACTGATAAGCTTCAGTATTCTGATAATTTGGTATTATAAACTGAGGTGATAACATAAATTGGCCGCCATAAAGAGTTATAAAGCTAACATTTCAAGCATAAGCCCTTTGTCGGAGTGTTTACCTTGTTATACTCTTCCACAAACACATCACCACAGTTTCTTCAGAAACTTACCCCCTATTATTTTTATTACCTGATTGCTGGATAATAAATGGATATTATTGGAAGAAGTTACAAGTTTTAGCTCTCTGGAAGTTCAAGAGTTAACTAATTTTCACCTCCTTGGTATGTTGGTTGCATAACCAATAAGAAAACATGATCTATTTCACCCTGCTGTTTGCAGAGCTACATGAAGCCATCCCAGTATAAAATATTCATATCTTATCAATAACTGTGTTTGTTGACTAGTAAGAAAAACTTCAAGAAGAGATACAGACCTTTCCTAACGAGATAAAATCCTATGGCAGGTGCAGTTAACAAGGAAGTAGAGTAACAAACTGACCATGCTAATGACAACTACAAGAGAAGTTCACAAAATGTTACATAACCTCTTTAATGTCCTGGAGAGGATACAACAAAATATCAGTCAGAACTAATTTCCGAGAAAAAGAAAGAAATACTACTCTACTCCTCAGAGATTTAAGATTGTCAAGCTCTCATGCAAAATATTTATCTCCTTCCCAACCTTAAGCTGATATGCTGTAAAAGTCAAAGCAATTGTCGTCGTCAAAAATCCCACAACGTTCGGTTTTGCGCGAAAATAACTATTTGGCAAAGTATTCTTTAGAGCTCAAGCTTGGCCTACGGAGTAGAATCAAATCTTGAAGTAGGCTTCTTATTCGCTTACCGCTCGTAAAACTCCTGAGCCACATTGCTCCAAGGTATTCCCCTCGTACGGTCTACTCTGTAAAATAGTTCAAGCCATATAAAGTTAAAACACCACAAAGAAGAAGAAATATTCGAAGCTAAAAAACGAAACTAATTAAAACCCACGACTTCAGAATCTAAATCTGCAAGACAGGTGATGGCTAGCTTTGTTTCAGTAAATATAAGCTAACAAATCACGAAAACCAAAAGGTAAAATAGTATTTTCAAGGTAAAAAAGCGTCCACTCAACACTTACTTGTCGACTATTTTTCGTAAAAATCCGATATAACTGTGGTCCCACCGCACACCTATAAATCTCCGCCATTTTGTTTTCAAAAGGCTTCTAGCGAGCAACCGCTGACGCATGTTTTGTCTGCGCATGTTCCAAAAATTTTTGTTTGATCGGAAATTACGTCGGAAAACAACTATGGATCGAGTATTTAAGAGAAACTTTCTTGACATTTTCCCCTCTGTAACTTAGATGGAAGCATCAAAGTCTTAAAATTGTTGTGTGGTCTGTGGAAGGAAGTTATTTTCTGAAAACAAAAGATTATACAATCGACTTCGAGTCCTGCTTTATGATTTTTGGGGCGATCGATGTAGATGATGTTATTTGTGAAGGGTGCAAGAGGCCTGTCGAAGAGCACAAACGTATTTGATAGTATACTTTTATCTCTAGTTCTCGTTGATCATTTCAAATACTCAATTTCCTGTGAGCGTTTGTAGAGCTTCAACTGTGCTGCTAATGCAATGTACCTGCAATTTTGGCGAAAAATTTAGGTTTACAGAAGTTGTTTTGTTTCAAAACTTTCTTTTGACACGAATCACAACCAGAAGGGCCTATTATCACAACAAAAAAGGTCAATGTCGAGTAAAGAAAAGTAAGACAACGTTATTACTAGAGATATGGTCGTTACATCAACGGAGAGCTTGTTAGAAATGGAGGAATAATTATGAATTTTATCGAAGTAAGGAAAACCCTTTTTTAATCTTTAGTCTCAGAAATATCATCAGATATGACCAATGATGTGGAGAAATTGTGAATTAAAAAAGGACCGGTTTGGGCCTCCAGTTTTGATATGAATTGTTAAATAAATTAATTATTTCCAAATAAAAATCAAATTCACTTATCATTTCAACTGCATAACAAAATCACATACACTCTTAGCAACCTTATTTTTCAATCTATTAAATCAGGAGTTATGTGAAAATCCAACGGTCTGAAAATATTTTTTACAAGCCAAACAACAAAGAACCAGTAGGGCTGATATTAACAGTAAGGATGGAAAACAAAGGCCTTTTTTCCCCTGGGAACAAGACTAAATGAGGTCAGATCAAACTAATGTAGAGAAATTTCTGATCTCTATGGAAAATGGATAATTTACACCTATCAGATTTTAAAGAAATAAGACTGAAGTCCAAAGGGGACTTTGACATTGCATATTATGCAGTAAAAGACACCAACTTGGCTGTGCCAATTTTATGGCAGACAATTATTAATCAAATCATACATTGGTCACTTAAGGAAAAAGACAATATTTCACATAATCACTCCTCATATTCTTTTCCAATGAAATTTGAACAGAACTTTCAAAAACTTTATTGGTAATTTTATGGTTACAAAAAAAGTATAGACACAAGTTGCATGTAGCATAAGCTAGTTGAGGCAAGTTGCGTGGCGAGAACAAAAGATTGATAATTTAAACCATTAGTAAGCTTCTGGTACTAATGACAATCTCTTGAATACCAGCTTGCCACAGTAGATGTCACACCTATCCATTCTGTCAATAGTACCAATTGTATGTATTGGGATTACTTCACGTCTCCCTAAACAGCAGAAGACACAACAGTTAATTCTTATCATCAGTCTCAATAAAGAAATAAAAATTGAAGGATCAAGACATTTCTAGAAAAGTGAAATGCAAGTCAAACTGGTTTGAAGGCATTTTAACCTGAAATTCGTTTTTAAATATAATAGAAAAGTCAACATTTTAAAGAAATGTGGAGTTCCAGCCCCTTGAGTAATAATCCATTAGTTGTATTCCTTGTTTCATATTTTAAGAACCAGAGGAAGTTTGATAATTTTAATCTGCGATTCTCATAGTACAAATCAACTAAAAATTCATTTTGCATGGCAAATACCAGCCGTTTCACCAACATGTGAGTTCGCCAAAACCTGTTCACCGACATATGAGATGGATTTGCCAATGTCTAATGCCAGTTCACCAAAGCTTATATGTTAGTTTGCCAACATCCAAAATAATTGTCATTACAAACCACCAGAGGAATAAAACTTTACTATTGTAGTATTCATGTGTGTTTGTTGGTTAGTATCGTTTGAAGTTGTTTGTGTCACTCTCCCCAATCTCTCTCTCACACATAGCAACAAGGTCAAACGATGTCTGTTGTACAATTGACGGCTGATCATGTTCAAAAAAAATTTGAAAACCATCCACAGCTTTTACCCTGCAGAGTATAAACCTTCTGTAAAACCTTTTACTAAACCTTTGCATAGTTAAAGAGCTATTGACTCTAAATATAATTATGTGTTTGATTACAACTGAGAAAGCCTTGGTTATTATTCACATCTTGCACTCCCATAGCAACAAAGTCAAACATATCCATTGATCTAACAACAGCTGCACATGTTTGAAAAAAACTATGAAAACAATCCATGGATTTTCACCTTGTAAAGTATTAACCCCCTGTAAAACCTTTTAATTAAACAATTGCAAAGTTAACAATGGACTTTGTTTGACCTTGTTGCTAGGTGTGAGAAAAAGATTGGGGAGAGTGAAAGGAACAACTGCCAACAATACTAACCAATGAACAGCCATGAGTACATCAGAAGTAAAATTTCATAACTCTGGTCGTATGTAATGACAATTATTTTGTTTCATTTAACCGATGTTAAGACATATGCCTACATACCAAGTACAACAGACTTGGAGAGCAAAAAGGCTAAAGACGGTTGTGAGCCATGAATAGGAAAATCCACCTCAACCTCCCAAAAACGAATTTACCGAAGGTTGTAGTAAGAGGAACTAAATCCTGAAGCTGAAACATTTTTTAAAGGCTTGTGTCCTATGTGACTTAAAGAGAAAGTAAAGACGATGTGATTTGAAGTGACTTGAAGCGTGGGGGTCACCTCGAACTTGATGCAATTATACTTCAAAGTTGAAGTAAAATAAGATCACATTCTAAATTAACTCTTTCATCGAATCAAATATCTCACGATCGTCTCCACATACAACTTTGTGATTCTTACAAGTAAAAATCAACATTTTAAGACTAACCTTCAAGGTTTGTAGTCTCATGTGCGCATCTCGATCTTCAATAAATCAAATCTCAAACTCATAGTTTTCGGGCTTTTTTGACGTTTTGTTGGGACTTTGATCATTAAAATATGCCCATCCCAAGAGCCAACAAACATTACGAGTATCCACAGAGTTAGAAATGTTGGTAAACTTGTCACAATCTTTTATCCTCTCCAAAAATTATTACACAAAGGTGTCGAACGGGACACAAGACGACCAACGCACAAACATAGCGCATGCGCGTGTGCTATAAACAGTCTTACTACGTTCACTTAGCTTGTGAGTGAACCAACAATCTGATTGGCTACTGCTTTGTCCTGTTGACCCTCATTTTCTGTTGAAAAAATAATTTCCAAGCGAACCTCTAAAACCCAAACACAGTTTCCATGAATATCGTGTAGGACAGTTCCAAGATTGTTTTTCCGAGAGTTAAAACAATTACGTTCGGTTATTTTGAAGTGGTAAACGAAAAAGTTGGCAAAAATTGAGAGGAAATACACTCAAACCTGAAAGGACTCTAATAGCAAAATGACAGATTCTACAAGGAGTTGGGTGCCTGGTTTCACCCTCACCGATACCGTTAAAGAAAAAATCAGAGCCGGTCACATGCACCCGGGAATACAGGGGAAAAGCCTTTTCCTTTCGTCTGACGAAAACGTCGTCTGGAATCTAGTTAAAGACACGTTTATACAACCTGATGTCTTAAAACCTCACAGCTCTGATGATAAGAAGGAGGTTATACAGAAGCGATTTTCGTTACAAATTGGAAATCTTGGATGTAATGGAGCTGAGTGCTTTTGTGTGACCGTCATCTTACACAAGGTGGATCAAAGAATAATTACTGCCTATCCAACATGATAAATTAACAAATACTTTTTACATACATTGGACAAGAGCTGGTTTTCTAAAGTTCGTAAATAATTAATTATAATAAATTGTAATGCGTCACAAGTCATGCGTAGCAAGCCACAGATGATGAGCTTCGATTGTTTTATGACGTGGTAGGTTTTTTTTTTTTCCTTCTAGTTTTCTTGTATCGTTAGTGAAATGATTATCGGTTTAAGACTCTGAATTTACAGTTTTTGTCAACAGATGGCTGCTGGTCTTACTCGGTTCTACTCGTGAACGTGCTTTCAGGTTACTATTCAGCTTTAGGGATTACTGTAATTTTTTTAAGAACTCTGCACGATCAGTGATGAGGTTCCGTAAGACCTGTTAACATGCAAGTCATGCTGCCAATAGTTGTATGAATAGCAAATCCAACGCAACAAACAAACAAAGTTTTATGGAACAGCTTGCTCTTTTGATAACTGCACTATTAAGGGGAAACTTGCAAAATGAGCGGAATTGTCAGCTTTTGACAGGCGAGTCAGGCAAGACCGAGGTCAGCGAGTAGAGCGGGTAATTTTTATATTCCCCACACTTTTCAGACCCAGCTTTCGTCCGTCTTTAGTGGCGTCCCATCTTTCTTTCCTATCTAACCCAGAGGTATACTGGGAACGACGCTAGTTGAGCCCTTTAAGATCTTTTGCGCTCATAGGTCCTCACGATCATAGGTAAGAATAAAAAATGCCAACTATCATTCATCTTATAAAATAAATACTGTACAACACACTCTTATCCGATATAAATTTACTACGTAACTACGCATATTGATCAGGACAAGAACGTTTCGATGACATTTACTAAAACCTAATATTTATTTCAAAGAAAGTTAATCATAAAATCAAAAATGTAACGCTCGATACTTCTCTCTCCTCAAGAGTCGTTGTTAGTGTTTGGGAAAGCGATAGGAACGACTTTGCGTGGGTTACACAGAATTTTTGTTCACTTTCTCCAGTCGAAACATCTTTGCTCTTTTAGCTATAGCACTCTGAGAGATCAGTGTTCCTTATAGTTTGAGGCAACTGTTGCTTTGACGTTTTTCCGAAAGTCACGTATATCTTTAGAAATGGTCCACGGAGAAACAAAAGGCGTCAACATAATGCTAGCTTATGGCAACAACAAAATCTCTCTATTCGCGTCCCTAAGTGAATTCCAGTGAATAGTGCCCTTGTCCTCTTAGGATCCCCGTAGCAGAGCAGCTGAAAACGCGCAAATTTGTCTCAAGTAAAAATACAGAAATGACATGCAACATTAAACTCTTCATAGCCTCAGCATCCTCAAAGAGACATTCTTCGGGCATTTCCATACGGGTAATTTTTGTTCAAATGGGTTTTAAGGTCTAGAATAACAAGAGGCCCGCGCAAGTCGTTGTTCCTACCATAAAACAGCTTTTAAAAAATTTGCCTCTGGCCGATCAGCAAATTTAAAACCAAAATATCAATTTAGTAATACTTAGAATTTAAATCACTACTATTCATTAGCTGACATATGCTGAGGTCCTGGAAGACTTGCTAAAATTAAAAATTAAAACTTTAATTGTCTATGTCCAATTATCCATGTTTCCAGCATTTTTTTGAGCTTAAAACTTGTATCAATTATCGTTATGCCTTCAATTGACTTATCGTACGATAAAATTCAACTTTTATCAGGGCACCTATCCATCCAAATACATAAAATAGTTTGCATCCATGAACTACAATCTACCGGTTTCTATTCCTTAACAAACATTTATGATGACCCCTCTCGTCCCTTAAATAACGCTTCGTGACGTAACTCCTTTGCAATTTCAGAATCTTTCGCGGCAGATTTTAAAGCAGCTTTCAATTTTATCGCTGGATTTACTTACACTGAAAATCATTTAAAATGCAGCAAAACCGCTAAAAATGGCACGACCTAACCATACAGCAAGAAAGAAATATTATACTCGCTCGCTTGAAAAAAAACCTGTCGACTGTCTTTGTAAGTAAAACAAAATATGATCGTGATACAAATATATACATAAAGTAAGACTGACGTCTGTTGTCCAGACCAGAGTTCGTTATGCGCCCGCACACTGTGAATACTTCTCAGCAGCCACACTAAATTGTCCTAGTAATTCATCTGCCTCCCTATCAAGTTCTTGGAGTTCTCGACCCAGTCTTTCATGTTCGTCTCTCTGTGCGATGTATTGGGTCAGCAATTCTGAAAGGAATTAAAAGGAATGTGCCTAAAAATTCAATGATTTTGTAAGGTATTGAAAAATTCTCAAGAATCAAAGGGATTGTTCTATTTCAGTCGCACGCAACCCAAAACAATATTTGACGACCAAATTCCTGGAAAAGTCTCCCCAACTCTACCTAACCACTGAACACTTTGAGCGTCAGTGATACTAGAGGTATGTAAGATACTTTTCATATATGACCCAAATATAAGGCAAAGATCACCGAAGAGTTCTTTGATACTCAGAGGGTAAAGATTCAACAGCAAAATAAGAACTGGAATGGAAAACGATGAATCGTCACAGACAACTCAGACGGTTTATGTCTCGCACATTTCACTTTTTATCAACGGTTCAATGCCCACTGAAAAGCCAAGTTGTAGCAACAATTAAATGCGCCACATAACTGAAAGTATCTTCTAATATACATACCTTCAGCATCTGTCACGTCCTTAAGTAGTTGTTCTGAATCTTGATGAGCTTCTTGTACTTCTGAGAAGTTTCCGCTTGCCGCTTCATAGGACGAGTTCACCAAGGACGCGACTGGTGGCAAAGATGCCGTGCTGTTGTCGAAGGTCTACCAAAGAGCGAACGAATAAACTCAAATCATAATGAATAGTGCAGACCACAACTAAATAGAAAACTTATAGGGAAACTATAACTATAAACTATAACAGCCGAGCGTACTGAGAAAAGCCCGCGTTGCAACCGGACGTCTCACTCGGAATCTTGGAATCTAAAAACCCCCGCGTAGTCCAGTAGCAAGGCTGTGCTTGAGGCAGGTTGCTCTACAACTGCTTCAGGCACTTTTCAATTTCGATTCTCAAGTAATCCAAAAGTAATCTAAAATTGAATCGGTTATGCTTTTCTACGCTCGATGGCTGGTTCACGAAACATGAGCCAATTTCTCAACCACCCAGATGCTGAACGAAAACGAATCGCTTCCCTAATTATCCGCGTTCTTCCCCTCTTGAGGCCGTTCACGAGAATTTAATTAAAAGTCTACATGGGCTTGTAGCATCTCAATTTCTATCCTGATTAACACACAGCCGATAGCCGTTCTAGTTTATCTTTTCAAGCTCAAGCTCTAGCATGAGCCTTACTCGAACTTCTTCGATCCCCAGTACAAAACTGCGAGAGAATTTCTTAAGGCCAAGTCTGAGTATGCTGCGCTTGGTGATTTGAAGCGACGCGTTCATCTTCAACTCATGTCTCTGGACCCACTCGACTGATCAAAAAAGCTTCTTAACACCCTGCGCAGCTGACG